TTTCCCTATAAGCAAATTTCCCCACATAAACTTTCTAGGTTAAAGCTAAATGATGTTAACCTAGTAGAGATGCATGTGTATCTACTGTCATAGTACTGCACAGTTAAGGAGGTGAACTCAGCTGGGAAACAGTTCACATCAAACTTGGATTATGTGAGAAGCAAAGTAAAGCAGTAATTTAAAACAAAACAAAACAAGAACAAAAAAAAAAATAAACAACTAAAAACCAGTGTACCCCAAAACCAACAACCTTGACAGTTTCTTTCAGAATGGCCTAAGTAAATCACCGATTATGATAAAACAGACATTTTAAAAAAATCTTCATCATAACCTTTTATCAACTTTTTTTCTAAATTCCAAATAATTAAAAACCATTTATTTTTATGTAATATTGTATTGATATTTTCAGCAACTGTATTTTAAATAATGTCAATACTGGCATACTAATAACAAAAATAACATTTTTATATGTCTGAATAAATTAAAAAGTAGTCTCTTATTAAAAATGAAGTCATTGGAAGGCTAAATTAACATTAATTGTGTTAACTGCCACAGCATATAAATACTTTCAAAATACAGATGTAAACAGAAATGACATACAATCTTCTACTGCAAAAAAGTTAGGCCATTCAAACACTTATAAAATATAAAAATAAAAAGGGCAAAACAAATTATATGTAAAATCTAGTCAAGTAATAAACAACATAGTCCAACAGAAAACTTCCAAAAGCAAAACATTACATTCTATGATCCAACAAATCTTGAGCAGCAACACTAGCTCAATACTATGTAATAGAGAGAGAGGAGGGGAAGAAAAAAAAAAAAAAAAGAAAAAAAAAAAAGTGAGCTGCCCACTTCATTCCTAGGCCTTGCCAGCAAAAAAAACTTTGCTAAGGCTATTAACAATGGTAACTCCTTTTCTTAGTCTGGATCTTGAAGCAATCATATGTCCCCACCAAAAAAAGAAAAATTCAGTAACTACAGATATCTAAGGTTTTCCAGACATCATTGTAACTCAATAACTGCTCCACTGTGCTATGAACTCTAGAGCTTCAAGCTGGAAGTCAATCTAGGACAACCAATAGAAAGTGCACCTGTACAATTACTGCATTTCCTAATTCAGAAGGCCAGACTAGAGACACATAAAGCTTGTGTGTACTCAGATCACCAAAACAGAAATCCAAAAGACCATTCATCTTTTGTGCATATTGCACATATATATTATCATTAATTGCAATGAAAAATATAATTTATACAATTCAGAAACAGAAAATTACATTCCTTAACCAATATGTAATTATTTTAAATTAAATATAACTGTCTATATATAGCATATAAAACCACCTTATATGCAATAATTAAAAAAATGTTCACACCAAAGATTAATCACCAAAAGTTTAGAATATTTTTTTTTTTAAGTCATCTGATCAGTACCACACACAGTATTTTACAATATTGAGTATGAACTCTATGCTACATTAAAATATAACCTGCATCACAAAAAATAACAAGTATTATTTCAAGGACTGTAATCTTATTTTTTTAAACTGCAGAAATCTATTTTTCTCTTATTTAGCTCTATGTACTCTAAAATAAAAAACCTGTGATGCTAGTAACTGATAACAATATAATTTATCCACAGCAGCCTACCTTTCTGCAGATGCATTTTCATTCAATGTCTGACCTCAATGAGCAGTAAACAAGTTTACATGTATCAACACATTTCACTGCTCTAAAAATTAAGCTAAGTTTCTGTAACTACAATAACATGATCTCTAACAGCCCTTTAATACTGTCCTTCTAAAACAATCAATAAAAATGGCTCTGACGTATACTGTTCATATACTTGGGATCCCTTCAAAGTTTAAGGCTTGCAGATGTAAAATAGAAATAAAAGAACTACAATAGAGAATTATATTTAACTGGTCACTGCACCAGACCAATAAGGAATTACAAGTTCTTTCCGGTTTATTTTATAGCATTTTTAAAGGGTGGGGGTATTTTTACTATTGCACACACTGAAACCCAAATATAATCCCACACTCAAAAATACTACTGCAACAGCTTGATAGCACTCACCGCAAGTAATACTGTTTTAAAGCGAAGGCAGCGTTAGAACAACTTCTGGGAAAGTTAAACTCCTCTACAATTTCTCCCCACTGATTCTTCTCTGATACCTGTCAAAAACAACACACAGGCCGAGATACACAACGTACACATAAACATGTCGTTGACAGCGAACATCACGAAAAAACACGAGCTGCCATGAAGCAAATAGATAAATATATACAAAGAAATAAACACGAATGTATATGAGATTTAGGACTATATATTTTACTGACAGTGGGTAGCACTTCCCTTCGGGAATAATCCTGCTTCTCACCGGTATTTTGCTTCATTTATTTTTTTTAATATACAGGGGGGTTTGGGGTTTGTTTTTTGGGTTTTATTTTTGGGGGGGGGGCGCCGGGAGGGTTTGCATTGTTTTGGGGTTTGTTTGTTGTTGTTTTTACTGCCTGGACAATAACCAATCGGGAGTCCCTCTGTCGCCCCCTTTTAAATCCTAACGCGGTCCGTTAAAAACCCAAAGAAGTTCAAAATGCTGCGGGGAAGGCTTGGCGGGGGCGCCCCCTGGCCTGCGGGGCGCGGGGGGCCGGCCCGGGGGGGCCCCCCCGGCCACAGCCACAGACACACACAGGCCTTTCTTTTTACGCCTACAT